AGAGAACGCCATCGATGGTTTTCCCTCTCTTTCCCCTGACTTGCAATTAATTGCATATTGTATAATGTGATGAAACAAAACTAACAAAGCAAAATAATGTGCGTCGTTCTAGGGTATAAGTCCTATTAAACTCAATATAATCCGTTCCTTAGCCGGAACACTTGGTCCTCCGTTGGAACAATGGTGGGAGGAAAACATGTTCCCTCGGACGCCAGGAAGATAATATACATGTATTCAGACCTCACTTTTATCCAAACTTCCACGCCGCATATAGAAATCATTAAAGCAATTACAACAACAACAACAGCACAGACACCGGTTTGAATAAATGTTTTCCGCCAAAGAAAGAGAAATCGGATGTGACTGTTCACAGGTTCAATCCCGGAGAATCGCTTCTCCTTCGTGCCCAGCCTGAGCGTTTAAAGAAGAATAAAAACCTCCACTGAACACGCAGACGACCGCACTCGCTTGATAAGCGAAACTCGCGCGCTGATAATTACGAGGGGAGGTAACTCATGCTTATCTCGCGTTTTATCGCAGGAAACGTAACAGCTCCCTGTTTTAATGAGCAACAAGGGACGTAATCACGACGGAAATAGTCATAAGATGTGCTCTAAACTCGCGTTATGACAATCAATCATTTAACCCACCACTTTTCTATGAAAAAGAATGGATTCCGTCAAGAGATATCAATTCACAGAGCTCCGGCTCCTGGGCAGAACACTATGTGAGAACAAGATAATACTGTATTTTTGGCAAAGTTCAAATTGTGTCTACCAGCTGCGATGAAATGATGAGAGCCATCAGCTCAGTAGGGGGCTATTAACTACAAACAACGAAATTGAAATCGAATTCTAACTGAGGATGTTTATTATTCGAGGTTCTGTTGAGTTGTCTTCGTTGGTTTGGTTGTTTGTCCTGATTTTGCTTTAGACTATTATTCGCATATTTATGGAGAGTGGTACTTGTCAATGGGCACCGTCTAAGGAAGAACCTGTTTTGGCGAATTCAATGCTATCTTCTACAACCTCATTTTTCTAGTTTCTATGTAAATCACTTTAAAACCACTGAAACCCAGGCGCGTCAAGGGGAGCAAGCACAAAAAAATTGGAATTTTACAGAGCATGGGCATCATACGTTATTATGTCGGACCCAAAAAGACGATTTTTCAAGGACAATAGCAGCTGTGGCAAAAACTGACAAAAGTCGGAAATTGGAGTAAGTGCAAGACAGAGCTCAGTGCCCGAGTTGCAAATGGATTAAAACTATAGCTTCTTTGGAAAAATACTCAGTAGAGTCTGCCTACTGGTGTCACTCAGAATTAAACCTTCAACGTAATATCGGGAAGAGATTTTAATCGTTGATGGAACTGACGAACGCAGTGGAAGAATTGGTCGCTTTTAAGCTTTAAGCTCAAGGGGGGGGGGGGGGCTGTAAGGGTTGAGGGTGAAACCCCAGACGCTCTCTGGCAAGCCAACCTCAACCAAGTCAACTCCCCGTCCTTGTCGAGCAGCCTGGGGACCCCTGCTCTGTGCATAGGAGTAGGGGTTGCAGACGGAGCTCTGGCCAGGAGGTACCATAGCCCTGTGAGGTGCGAAGTGAGCAACGACCCTTCGGTTCGTAGAAGGGTTCATACACATCCACCATTGTGGTAGGTCTGTGGTCACAGCAGGCCAACCTGTTCATTCAGGAACTCACTGTCGACATCTTCTTCCCTCCCTCTCGTGGGAGCTCTCCAGACAGCGCATGGTACCCACAGACTGCCAGATGACTCATTGTGAGATGTCTCCGCGGACCCAGAAGGCCTTGTAGCTATAATAGGCTGCCTGGAAACAGATGACGTCCCTACAGATATCCTGGCAAATGCTCGCTAACCCATGACGTGACGATCCTCTGTCTGAGTAGATTTGGCCTCCCCTCTAGTTATTCTGCCCCATGAACGGAAAAATTAATAGCAGATATCCAGGAGACAGCAGGTGGTGGGGATTGGGCAAACGCAAGCTACGCTTGGTGATGCAGACGACTCACTGTGGAAGGAACGCGTTACCCCATACTCATTAGGACCTCTTACTGGACTGCTCAGATGATCACTTGACTTGTCATTGGTTGCACTTTGTGGCTCCCATCTCCCAGAACTAGAGTGTGCCTACAGCCCCTATGGTTGTCTACTGTCTAAGAAATCCCCGTGAAGGTTGATGGGAAAACAGGACAGTGAACATTGCACCTTTGTTCTCTTGTGGCAAGATGTTTGGGTACAAGCCAGTGTCAGGACAAGACTCCCACCTACCTGAGATCCTACAGGGATGCATACAAGCCTTCACAACCCCTAACCAATAAAACAACAAAAAGCTCAAGGGGGCTATCCCGAAAAATGCTGTTTTGAGAAAATCGAAGGTAACGTTTTTGCCCCTCGTTCAAATTCTTAAAAAAAAACAAGAAGAGTTTTCTCTATAACCAAACAAATATACACACCAATGAAACAAAACTTCTCCTACACGTAGGACAATGCTCACTTTTGGTGTAGGTCACGATTTCTGGAAGACCCCGAAATCTGGGCTAGCCCGCTTGTCTTTAAAAGCGACTAATTATGACTGTCACAAACCTGAAATTCGTTTGCAATTAACCCCAAAATTGTCAAACCGAAGAGTGGGCCCAGTCTTGTGTTATAGACGCTTTTAAAAGAGAAAATAGAAAAATAACTACAGCGGGAGAAATCCATCAGTCTAGTGTGGTTTGAACTTAAAAATTTATTTTCACCCGACCTAGCTGGAAATGTGGCTCTGTGCGTTATTCCATTGTGATAATTAAACGTGCAGCATGAACATCTTTTGAGTAATGTGGTACAGAATAAATAATTTGCTCTTTTCCTTGTCGGGAGCTGTGACATCGATGATAATGAGTTGGATTGACTTTCGATAGTTTGAGTTTGCCATCTGAGCTGGCATGATCCAATCCAAACCAGCTTCTATAGCGAAACCCTTTTTTTCTGATTGTGGATGAAGAGGTTGGAGAGGGGAGCGGGGAGGGGGGGGGTTATAAAACCCAGGATCGTCATCTTTTTACTGGGGTGTATACTTTACTCAACTCCACTTGGCTCTATCGGGCAGGAGGAAAGCAGCCTGTGTTCTTAATTATCGAAATTAATTGTGGTGTTTAGGGCGTAAAACATCTACATTGTATATTCAAACTTTTAATTTTCACAAAACATGTCCATCCTTTTAACATTTCTTCTTAGGCTGAAGTCGCGATCGGAGACCAATCTGTACACTTTTAAAACAAGCCTGTCTACGCTCTACTAGGAGTTATGGGCTTTGTTTCCACTTTTAAATTCATTCGTATAGGCCTAGTTCGGGCTTTTAAAAAGTTGCACTTTTTATTACATTGATAGCAGAGGGAGTTTCTTTTTTTAACTCTGAAGCGTAATTGTGCCCTGTTCATGTTTGACAACGGCTCGAATAATAATTACACGATTACACCATTCAAATGACACGATTAGTTGTTCGAGTATTATAATACTTTTTTTTCACCACCATAAAAGATCCGCGTATCTGTCGTTTTCGACTACAAAAAAAAAAAGACTAACCAACAGATGAAAGTGAACCTCTCACTACTCGTCCCGACATAAACATTTTACTTTCGCAAACGAAAGTCTCAACTCTGACACTTGGGCGAACGTTGTGTTGTAAATAACCGCTGTTTGCTTCTACTGTCGTAATCAGTGATGATAAATGTTGGGCTGGAGTTGGGCAAAGAGGACTTTATTACTAGGTGAATCATTACTTCCGGTTTTAGTCTCTCTTCTGTGTCAGAGTAATCTGCAGGGTTGACACATAATTACCTTACTCTTATCCATGATCGTCATATACATATATATATATATA